CGGCGCGGCGGCGGTGTACAACCTCAGCCTGGCGGTGGACGAGGGGCTGCCGGCCGAGACGCTGGTGGGGGACATCCGCGCGGGGCTGCCGGCGGGCGCGGGGCCGCCGGGGGGCTTCCTGCTGTCGGAGGGGAGCGGCGAGTCGGCGGTGCTGGCGGACTTCCACGTCCAGGCGGAGACGGGCATCATCCGCACGGCGCGGCGGCTGGACCGGGAGCGGCGGGCGCGCTACAGCTTCGCGGCGGCCACGCTGCGCGGCGAGGTGGTGCAGGTGGAGATCGCGGTCACCGACGTGAACGACCACCCGCCGCGCTTCCCGCGGGACTGCCTGCAGCTCAACGTCTCCGAGCTGAGCCCGCCCGGCACCGCCTTCCGTCTGCCGGCCGCCCGTGACCCCGACGCCGGCCGCTTCGGGACGCAGGGCTACGCGCTGCTGGAGGAGGGCGGCGCGGCGGGGGAGCCGCCGCTCTTCCAGCTGCGCTACGGGCGGCCGGAGCCGCTGGAGCTGGTGCTGCTGCGGCGGCTGGACCGCGAGCGGGCGGAGGCGCACCGGCTGCTGGTGGAGGCGTGGGACGGCGGCAGCCCGCGGCGCCGCGGCCGCCTGCGGGTGTCGGTGCGGGTGCTGGACGAGAACGACAACGCGCCCGCCTTCAGCCGCGGCGAGTACCGGGCGCGGCTGCGGGAGGACGCGCCGCCGGGCACCGCCGTCTGCCGCCTGCGGGCCACCGACCCGGACCTGGGCGCCAACGGCGAGGTGCGCTACGCCATCAACCGCCGGCAGAGCGACCCCGACGGCTACTTCGCGGTGGAGGAGCGCAGCGGCGTGCTGCGCCTCCGCCGCCGGCTGGACCGCGAGGCGCGGGCCCTGCACCGCCTGGTCGTGGAGGCGCGGGACGGCGGCGCCCAGCCCGAGGTCTCCAGCGCCCTCGTCTCCGTGGCCGTGCTGGACGTGAACGACAACCGCCCCGCCATCCGCCTGCTCTACCTCACCGAGAGCGGCGGCCCGCGGGTCTCCGAGGGGGCGCGGCCCGGCGACTACGTGGCCCGCGTCTCCGTCTCGGACGCCGACGAGGGCGCGGAGGAGAAGGGCGGCGGCGGCGGGAGCGCGGCGGC